ATAATGTTCTGGAGACCTGGGTTCGAATCCCACCACAGCAAATGGTGGAATTTGAATCCAATAAATATCTGGAATTAAAAATCTATTGATGATGATTGTGAATCCATTGTTGATTGCCAGGAAAAACCCATCTGGTTCACTAATGTTCTTTAGGGAAGAAAACTGCCATCCTTACCTGGTCTGGCCTACATGTGACTCCAGACCCACAGCAATGTAGTTGACTCTTAACCCCCCTTCTGGGGAATTAGGGATGGGCAATAAATGCTGCCTAGCCAGCGATGCCCTCATCCCATCAATGAATAAAGAGGCAACGGAGGGATTTGAATAGTTGGTATCATTGAGCTGGATGTCATTGGCATATATGTGGAAACCTTCATTGTATTTTTGGATAATGTCAAATAGTTAGTGATAAATTCAGCATATGGATAAGAAGTAGAAAAGGTCAAACGATATTTCCTTCAGAAACTGCAGCTGTAATGGTGCAGCAGAGGGAAAAGTAAGCCATTACTGATGATTCTAGCTGAAATGAATAGGTGAGAATAGAACTATCCTACTCTGAGGATGAGTGGCATAGGTGGTGGATGATGTGGTTGATTGTGCTATAAATCATGGATGTGTGCTTCTAAATCTCTCAACGTATGTACAAACATTATTAAGAGGACATTGATACAACTGAGGTTGGAGGATTGAATTAATTCCTTTCCTAGTCCCACTCCTCCACTGGTCAAAGCAAAGTTTGTATTTATCAAAGGCATTGATATTGCCAATTACATAGGTGTTAGACTGTATTAAATTCAAAATCAGAAACTGGTCAGTTGGGTTTCTTTAGGCAACAATTTTTTTTTTAAACAAATAAAACTTACTGAAAGAAATAAAGATACAAAGATGATGGACAAAAAAGCTTTAGACTGGAAAGATAGATATACCATATATTCTAACATCCTAATTTAATGAGACAAATATGGGTAACAAACTGTGGTCAAACATCACAGAGCACAAATATCAAATCTGGTCAAGACAGATCCCATAGATTTCTTGGCAAACCACTACCCTCTCCCCTGACTTTGGTGACATTGTGCGTCATGAAATCTTCTAAAATTTTGCAAGGAATTCTAATGGATGCTGTGGTTGGTTCACTCACCAAGCTGGTTTGTTAGTTCACAGAAGTTTCATTACCATGCTGGGTAACATCATCAGTGCAGCCTCTGATGAAGTACTGTTGTGTTTTCCCACCTGGTATTTAAACTCTGGGGTCCATTGGATTTGATTACCTCATTTCTGGTTTTCCTTTGCAGTGGTGTATATATAGGGTCTAGTTCTATGTGTTTGTTAATGGCCCTCTTGGTGGTAAACCAGGCCTCTAGGAATTCCCGTGCTTGTCTCTGTTTGGCCTGTCCTAGGATCCTGGTGTTGTCCCAATCAAACTGGTGGTTCTCCTTATCCGTGTGAATGGAGACAAGTGAGTACTAGTCATGATTTTTTATTGCTAGTTGGTGCTCATGTACCCTTGTGGCCAATTTTCTTCCTGTCTGTCCAATGTAATGTTTGTCACAGTCCTTGTGTGGAATTTTGTATATTACATTGGTTCTGTCCATTGTGGGTAAGGGGTCTTTGGTTTGACTTAGCAGTTGGGATGGGGTTGAAGTGGGTTTGTGTGCTACTCTGATGCCCAGTCGTAGGAGCCTGGTGGTCAATTTGGATATGTTCTTAATGTGTGGTAGCATGATGAGTGTGTTAGGGCGTGCAGTATCTTCCTGTTGTTCTTCATGTGATAGGCGTCGTTGGATCCAATTGTTTGGGTATCCATTGTCCTTAAATACTTGGTGGAAGTACTCTTCTTTTTGGTGTAGTTCCAGGTTGCTGCAGTGTGTTGTCGCTCGTTAAATTGTTCTCACGCGGTTTCGTTTGTGGGTGTTAGGGTAGTTACTGTTGCAATTCAGTACTTGGTCATTTTCTGAAGAAGGGTCTAGGCCCGAAACGTCAGCCTTCCTGCTCCTCTGACGCTGCTTGGCCTGCTGTATTCATCCAGCTCTACACCTTGTTATCTCTTGGTCAATGTGTGTGACTTTTCTGTGTACCTTTGTCAGGAATTCCCCGTTGGCTCTGCATTCTACCATGACGTCCATGAATGGACGCTGTTTGTTCTTTTCCTCTTCCCTGGTGAATTTGATGCTGGTGAGAGTGTTGTTTATTAGATGGTGTGTCTCCTCTAGTTTAGTCCATTTAATGATGACGAAAGTGTCGTCCACATATTGGATCCATAGTTTGTGTTGGATTTGCGGAAGGGCTATGCTTTCAAGTCTCTGTATCACCACTTCTACTATTAGTCTAGAGAGAGGTGATCCCATGGGTGTCCCATTGATCTGTTTGTAGATTTAGCCATTAAAAGTAAAGTGGGCCATGAGGCATAGGTCCAGTAGTTTTAGCATGTTGTCTGTGAAGATGGTGTTGCTCGTGTTTCTCTTGCCAGTGGTATGTCAATAGGGCGGTAATGTCAAATGACACCATGGTCTTGTCATCATCTATTCTTACGTGCTTGAGGGATTTCAGGAACTCCTGGGCTGAGTGGATTGAGTGGGGTGACTTGCTGACGAGGTGCTTTAGTCTTTGTTGTAACTCCTTGGCTAACCTAACTCTCTCCAAACAGCGAAAACAGCAAGTGATAGACAGAACTAAGTGATCCCACAACCAACAGATCAGATCTAAGCTCTGCAGTCCTGCCATATCCAGTCATGAATGGTGGTGGACAATTAAACAACTCATTGGAGGAGGAGGCTCCACAAATATCTCCATTCTCAATGATGGAAGAGCCCAGCACATCAGTGCAAAAGATAAGGCTGAAGCATTTGCAGCAATCTTCAGCCAGAAGTGCTGAGTGGATGATACATTTCGGCCTCCTCCAGTGGTCCCCAGCATTGCAGATACCAGTTTTCAGCCAATTCAATTCACCCCACATGATGTCAAGTAACGGTGGGAGATACTGGACACTGCAAAGGTTACGGGCCCTGACAACATTCCGGCAATAGTACTGAAGACTTGTGCTCCAGGTGGCACGGTGGCTCAGTGGTTAGCACTGCTGCCTCACAGCGCCAGGGACCTGGTCTGTGTGGAGTTTGCACATTCTCCCCATGTCTGCATGGGTTTCCTCTGGGTGCTCTGGTTTCCTCCCACAGACCAAAGATGTGCAGGCTAGGTGGATTGGCTATGCTAAATTGCCTAGTGTTCAGGGATGTGTAGATTAGGTGGGTTATAGGGGGATGGATCTGGGTAGGATGCTCTGAGGGTCGGTGTGGACTTGTTGGGCCGAAGGGCCTGTTTCCACACTGTAGGGATTCTATGAACCCTATCCACGCCCCTCATGATCTGACTTCTCAAAAATATGAATCCACAGTTGCAACATTCACACAATCTGATACAGTTATGTGTTACAACACAGGCTTTTCGCAATATTCTTTATTCATATTCACACCAAAAAGGTGATTTCCATCAATAGGTCTGTATTTTGCACAAACTTAAAATTGTATATCTTGCTTGATGACTGAATGAAACAACATTCCGCAGGAATATTATTCTGTCCACAGTTAAGTACCAGAAGGTCATACGTGATGCTTGCTACTGTCCTATCTTGCTGAATGTTAAACTGACAAAAAAAATTGCTATGAAACACATCTACTATATTGTCATACTAAGAACATCCCAGTACTTACTGTACACCATGCCCTCATACCAAGGAAAGAACTACAGAAAAAGTACAACAAATGCAAACTTAAAACATTTTCTTTTGCAACTAATAGTTCTTTTACAGAACAATCTTAAAACAAAAACTTGACAGTAACTTCTATTTTTTTGGGGTGGAAAGATTTTCCTCAGAATGATCCCTTGTTGAGTATTTTTCACCACTATGTCGTTAACAAGTTCACTCATTCTTCTATGACATTTATAATGTTTCGTGCTCCTATTACCTTCAAAAACAGTTTGAAGGGGTTGAAATAAGCAATAAATAGTACTGTTGGAAGATCACTGAAGAGAACCAATTTACATTAATTTTGTTCCCAATTAAGTTTAGTTTAAGATTTCAAAACAAAAATATATACAAGGGTCTGAGGGACAACTTATACTCTGCTTATTAAACCAGAACACACCAACAAATTTATCATTTATGAAGCACCAGACCATTCTCATCATGGCATACAAATCCACAGAAGCCTGAACTCATTTTTATCTTAAACCTATACTTGCATTTCCCAGAGAAGTAACTATTGGAATAAAGAGAAAAAATACCGACCAACTTCTCTTCCTAACGCAGAAGCAGTTTTGGTGCCTTTATGCTGAGTTTTATGAGTGGGCATTGGTGTAAACAGTTGGTCCCGAAACCCAGTGGAATCTTAAGATGTAGCAGCAGTAGTTCGCTATTCAGCCCATGTCTGCAGTCAGGTCCACCATTCAATGAGATCATAGCAGATCTGTGAATCAACTCCACTTTCCTGCTTTTTCCCATATTCCTTGATTTCCTCACTGATTAAAAATCTGTTTATCTCCACCTTGAACATACTTAACAGCTTTGACAGCACTCTGTGGTAAAGAATTTCACAGATCTACTACACTGAGGAAAAAAAAACTTCATCATTTCCACATTAAAAGTGAAATCCATCATTCTGAGATTACACCCTTTAGTCCTTGACTCACCAACAAAGGGAAATAATCTTCTGGCATCTACCCTGTTCCAGTGAGGTCGCCACTCATCCTTCCAAATTCCAAGGAGTACAGGTCCAACCTACTTAACTTCCTCAAAAGACTCTTCCTCCATACCTGGTAATCAGCCTAGTGAACCTTCTCCGGATTACCTCCAATGTCAGTCTAACTTTCTTTAGCTAAGGGGCCCAAAACTATTCATATTATTCTAGCTGTGGTCTGTCTAGTGCCTTGTACAGTTTGAGCAAAACCCACATTTTTATACTGCATCCCTTTTGAAATAAAGCCAGAAATCATACGACACCAGGTTACAGTCGAACAGGTTTATTTGAAATCACAAGCTTTTGGAGTGCTCCTCCTCTGTCAAGTGAAGTGACTGGATAGGGAAGGGGTGGTGGTGGGGAAGAAAAGGAAATGGGACCCTCTTAAAAAAAATTAAATATGCTTGTGGTGTAGTGGTAGCGTCTCTACCCCTGAACTGAAAGATGTTGTGGGGAAATCTACCACACCCACAGGAAGCGGAAGTGGAGAGCATGGAGGACAAGAGAGAAGACTATCCTGAAGGGAGAAGGGTCGACTCGGGGTCCTGTATTAGTGCTGCTGCTTAGGCCCTGCCCTGGGACTGGGTGCTGGTCACGTTGCTGCTGCCTGGGCTCCACCTTTAGACTGTTGTGAGTGCTGCTGAGGCAACCACTTTTAGAACTCATCAGCCGTATCAGGGACTTCTGCCTTCCCTGAGCTGTTCCCCACCCCCTTTCTCGATACATTTGAAATGGTGACCTTAATATCATGATCACCAGCTGCAGGACCCAGCTGAGCCTACTCCGGGGTGGCTGCTGTTTCGGCTCTATTGTGGCTCCTTCACCTTTCAGAACTTTACAAAAAACCTGGGGGTCAAAACTTATGCTAACCTGCACAGGACCACAGGCATGTATTAAGGCGATGGCTGGAAATGGCTGAGGAACTGAATAATTACTTTGCATCAGTCTTTACAGTGGAAGACACACGTAATATCCCAAAAATTCAAGAGAGTCAGGGGGCAGAGCTGAGTATGGTGGCCATCACCAAAGGAGAAGGTGCTAGAAAAAAATTAATGACTTGAAGGTGGATATATCACCTGGACCAGATGGACTACACCCCAGAGTTCTTACAGAGATAGCTGAAGAGATATTGGAGGTGTTCGTGGTGATCTTTCAGGAATTACAACAGTCAGGCAGGGTCCCAGAGGGCTGGAAAATCACTAACGTGACACCTGTTTAAAAAGGAAGTAAGGCAAAAGACTGAAAATTACAGGCCGATTAGCCTAACCTCGGTCGTGGGTAAGATTGGAGAGCCCATTGTGAAGAATGAGATTTCTGAATGCTTGGAAGTGCATGGTAAAATAGGGCAAAGTCAGCATGGCTTCATCAAGCGGAGGTCATGCCTAACAAATCTGTTCAATTCTTAGAGGAAGTAATGAGCAGGTTAGACCAAGGAGAGCCAATGGATGTTATCTACCTGGACTTGAAGAAGGTGTTTGACAAGGTGCCACACAGGAGGCTGCTGAGTAAGATAAGGGCCCACGGTGTTAAAGGCAAGGTGTTAGCATGGATTATAAGATTGGCAGTCTGGCAGAAAGCAGAGAGTGGAATTAAAAGGGTCTTTCTCAGGATGGTAGCCGGTGACAAGTGGTGTTCCACAATGATCAGTGTTGGGAGCACACCTTTTCACTTCATATATTAATGATCGAGATGAAGGAACTGAGGGCATTCTGGCTAGGTTTCCAGACGATACAAAGGTAGGTAGAGTGACAGTATTGAGGATGTGGGGAGGCTGCAGAAGGATTTGGACAGGTTAGGAGAGTGGACAAAGAAGTGGCAGATGGAATACAACGTGGGAAAGTGTGAGGTCATGCACTTTGGTAAGAAGAGTAAAAGCATGGACTATTTTCTAAATGGGGAGAAAATTCAAAGAGACTTGGGAGTTCTAGTCTAGGATTCTCTCAAGGTAAACTTGCAGATGGAGTCAGTAGGTAGGAAGGCAAATGCAACTTTGGCATTTATTTTGAGAGGACTTGAATATAAAGGCAGGGATGTACTTCTGAGGCTCTGGTCAGGCCACATTTGGAGTATTGTGCGCAATTTTGGGCCCCACATCTTAGGAAAGATGTAATGGCCCTGGAACGGGTTTGGAGGATGTTCACGAGAATGGTCCCAGGAAAGAAGAGCTTAACATATGAGGAACATTTGAAGACTCAATGTCTATACTCAATGGAGTTTAGAAGGATGAGGTGGGATCTATTTGAAACGTATAGAATACGGAATGGCTTGGACAGAATCCATTGTTGGAGAGACTAGGGCTGGAAGGCACAGCCTTGGAGTAAAGGGAAAACCTTTTAGAGCAGAGTTAAGGAGAAAGTTCTTCAGCCAGAGAGTGGTGAATCTATGGAATTCATGACCTCACAAGGCTGTGGAGGCCAGGTCATTGCGTATATTTAAGACGGAGCTAGATAGGTTCTTAGTTGTCAAGGGGATCAAGGGTTACAGGAAGAAAGCGGGAGAATGGGGTTAAGAAACTTATCAGCCATGATTGATTGGCAGAGCAGACACGATGGGCTGAAGGGCCTAATTTCTGCTCCTATGTCTTATGGTCTTATCATTGCTGCCTGAAGATGTATGGGAAGGTTGTCTTTTTCTCAAGACCAAGTGGTGAACCTGGCCTTGGAGAGGGGGCTCACTGTGGGTGGGACCTTTTGCCAGTAGATCCCTTGGAGCTCATGGCACAGAGAGTTGTGATCTCCAGTGTTCCACCCTCGCGAGCTTCTCCTCTCTTGTTTACAGCTGTTAGGAGTGGTAAAGTTGGGTATTGTGCATTCCTGCTCGGGCTTGGGGAAAGCAGCCTCCAACACATCTACTCTTTCTGGCACCAGGTGTTTAGTTATTAGGTCTGGGAGGAGGTGAACTGAGAGGGCATTTACTCTACACCATGAGGGGGCGGCCGACTGTGCCTTCTGAATGGTGTCACTTGTGCAAGAAGCACGTGCTCCACTTCGAAGGTTGTCAAAACTACACCAGCGGCCGCTGATGGCACTGCCTCAAAAGGTGCTTCCCCGCCTCAAAAGTAACACATAGAACTCCACAAGGGGAGCCTGAGCCTGTTGTCGCCATTCCCACTACCTCTGGCTTGGAGTGGGTTGGGTGCCAGGCAGAAAAAAGGTGCAGTGTAAAAGCAGACACTTGGCGGCTGCCAACCTGGATGTGTCCCCTTGTGCCCTAGAGTCCATTCAATTGCCCCCACCGAGTCACAAATGCCCCTATGGCTGCATCTGTGTCACTTTGGCACAGGAATCCTGAGCCTGACCCCCTCCCCTTGTCGGTTGAGTGCTATAACCCCAGTCCTGTGCACCCGAGCCGCGGGATTCTGAGCCAGATCCCCATTCACCAAAGATCAGTAGCCTCGATCCTGAGTCCAAGGATTCCAGGCCTGATTCCACACAAATAAATTCTGATCCTGTGATTGCCTCCACTACACCACCTCCAGCCCCACCCTTCATCACCTGATCATTGGGATTCTGGGGAACCGCAAGTGGCAGAACTGTCAATCCTCTGGCCTCACCCCCAACCAATAATATTTTTTGAGCAGCTGGTGGGAAGGCACGACACTCCCAAGAACACCGGGGTGGCAGGGCTAAGAAGACCATCATCATGATGAAGAAGAGGCACTATTCCCTGCAAGGAGAGAGCTTGTGGTGCCTTCTGCCCTTCCAGTGTCATAGCCTGTCAGGTCCAGAGCCTTGGAGATTACATCAGGGCTTCCTGCTGCCAAAATCCCAATGACCCCCAGGGTCAAGTCAGAGCCCTGCGAGGGCTGCGGTGCAGATATTGTAAGCCTTGCTGGGTCATTGCATGGTGGGGGAAGGTGGTTTCCTCACTTCTCCCTCCTAGACTGTTTTAGCAGGTACCTTGGTCATGGGGGAGGACCTTTTCCCTGAGGGGCCAGGTGACCCAGTGTCAGGAGAGGAGTGGGTCCCCTGAGTTTCTGCCACCCAATGACACAGAACCAGAACTTCCCCTAGTGGATTCCACTGGGTAAGCCCCTGCCAGTGACTCAGGGGCTGGTGTCACTGGGAGAATGGAGTTAGTTGGTGGCACCTGGCCAACCCCTATTCTAACAGTGGGGGAGGGGCCCGTGGCCGAGGACAACCACTTGGAGGAGGATCTGGGCTTGGTGACAGGCGTTGGTGTGACGCAGTCAGACTCTGGCGAGGTTTTGGATTCCCTGGTCTCCCCCACTGATTTCCCCTTCATCCCCACAGAGGAGCTCTGGGATTTCCTGGGATAAAATCTTGGTTGTCATGATAGAGTCCAGTTGGCTTTGGACTGTTGGACCAATTTTGAACTGGTCTTCTGGTGCACACAGGCAGCTCTCAGCGCACCTGGGATGGCCCCGAACGACTGTAACAGGATGAGAGCTCTCTCACAACCAGTAAACAGCAATGGGGTATCTGCTTGGTGTTTGCAATCTGCGAGGTCAGAAGTCATATGGTCCAACAGGTTTATTTGAAATCACAAGTTTTCGGAGTGCTGCTCCTTCATTTGTTTTGCCCTTAGTAGACACGAACTGTTCTACCTTCTCCCATGTTTTGTTTTTAAGCACTTAGCAGCTTTCCCAGGAACATTGGGTCGCTTGTACTTTATTAAATTTCTTACAATCTAGAGCCATTTTGTGATTTCTTGCACATGCCTAGAGAGCAAAAAAGAGAAGTTAGCATGACAATTTTAGATTCTTAACTGTTACATATTTTAGACCTTAATCTTGTCTCAGGTTCGCAACTGATCTATCTTGTCTAGAAATCCTATATTCCTTACTTGGGAGTTTATAATTACTACTCAGCATCCAGGCATATTGACAGCTATAATACTGATATCTATCTGCATTGAGGTTGTTGACTTGCTTGTCGAACTGGCTTGTTTTCGTTCAGACATTTTGTCACCTTGCTAGGTAACATCGTCAGTGAGGCCTCTGAAGCAATATTGTTCTAATCCGCTTGGAATTTATACTGTCTGGTCCGTTATGGAGATTAGTGTCATTTCTGGTTTTGTTCTGTATGGGTTTGTATATGAGGTCCAATTCTATATGTTTGTTGATTGCATTATGGGTTGAGAACCGTGCCCCTAGAAATTCCAGTGCGTGTCTATGTTTGGCTTGGGCTACTTTGGTAACTTTGTTCCAGTTACAAGCGGAGTAGAATAACATTGCTTCATTGGAGACCTCACTGATGTTACCTAGCATGGTGACAAAACGTCTGAACGAAAACAAGCCAGCCTGGCAAGCAAGTCAACAAACTCACCCACAACCCAAGCTACAAATCTTTGCTAAAACCTTAAAAATCTATTTGCATTATATGGACTGCAAAAAGTCTTTCACTTGCAAAATGCAGATGGATTAGTACTTCAGTAGAAGGGGGGCCAAATATAAAAAAAATCCAGTTACTTTACTATTGATTAAAAAAAATCAAGTAAACATTACAATCAATTACTGATCATTTCGTAAAGATCCTTATATCATAAACTTAATAAACATGCTACACTATCCTTGTTTACAGGACTAAATGCAAATTTTCTGAATTATTCATCTGAACCAGATGAGTGTTCCCTTAAGAAAATGGTTTTGCATATTTGAATGAAAAATGGAGGTGGACTGTTGGTTGCATATCAGTGATTCATGGGCACCTCTTTAAAAGAAGTGCAGCTGCCTTCAAGTATTTCCAGTTTTTGTTAATGGAATGTTCATTGCATGAATCATGAGCTTTGCACTTCTTAGGACCAGGTCTAGATTAGATGCCTTTGGAATTAATAAAATTAAATATGAATATGTGTAAAATAAAAATAAGTAGATAAAGTCATTGCAACTGTCAAACTCCTAGACATTTAAAATTCCCTTTCAACTGTTGAGCTGTCAAGACATTTAAGTCGCAGAAATTTTTTAAAAATTTTAAAAAAGTACAGCATCCAGTAATATCTTGGGTATCCAATTGAAGCAGAGCCATGGAGACAGCAATGTGACACTATGGACACCATTGTTATGGCACCATACCAGCAATGCAACCTCTAGAAATGACATTCATTTTGACACGGTGTTTCTCAGCTCTTCACAGATGTATCTAACCACCATCTTGCAAATCAGGATACATTAAACTGATATTAATCAAATATGATAAACATTTTCACCAGTTCAAGATTTACATAAAATAGAGATTGAATGGAAGCTTTGATTGTAGCATTCTAAAGTCAAATTTGAGAAATTTCTCTACAGCAAAATATGTTAAAATATCAAAACCGTACATTGGGAAAAAGTTTTTTTTTCTAAAATAGACTTTGTCTTCACAAAGCCTGTTACCCCCAGAAATACTTAAATATCAATGCTGTGTTCATTATAATTAAAGATATACTTGGTGTATTCGTGAAAATAAAAATTAAAGCTTCAGATTGTTATATTTCAACATGATTTGAATACTTACAATGGATAGAAAAACCACAAAGATTAAGAGTGTGGAACCCAGAATGATCAGAACAACTGGTAAGATAGTTGGCTGTTGTCCAAATCTCTTTGACTGAAGGATACCTGCATCAAAAGTTTGTATTTTTGTAGCATATTTAATAGAAAGCAATTACAGACCAACAACTGGAAGAATGGCCTCTTTGAAAATGAACAAGATTATACATTTTCATGAAGGTTTATATTCTATGAAATACTAGGCTTATACGTAACTCTCAGAATGAGAAATGGCACATAGGTGTTCAATCTTTATGCTGGGACCAAGTGCATCTAAAAGGTGGTAGCTCATTTAAAGCCAGTGATTTACTGCTATTGTTAAGTTTATTCAAGTATTATTCCAAGTGCCAAATATTCTACCTCCCACATGTATTGAAGGAGAAACTCTGAAATATGTTGAGCAAATTCCATACCTTTCCCAAATGGCCACCACTGACAAAAGGATCTAACACCAGATCAGCTGCCTAAGTTAAACCTTCTATAAACCATGACAGTAGGCGACTAACAACAATGACCTTATTTTAAAATTCCTCTCTATTTGGGTAACCTCATCAAGCCGCCGACCTTCTGAGGTAGCAGAGGTGATGGTCTATTGGTATTATCACTAGAAACTATTAATCTATAGTCCCAGGAAATGTTCTGGGACATGAGTTCAAATCATGTATTGTCAACTGTGTGTAGCTTGGGGAAGACGATAAAAATACTTTATTCACATTAATTTATAATCTGTGAAATAATTATTGAAACACAAGCAACTTAGAATATTACCTAAAATTGTTTACTTTCAAATTCAGTTCAGTACATATATTTTTATAAACTGGTTTTGAAGTTTTAGGAAAATATGGTAGAGTCTCTGAAAAGCTGCTCAGCAGACAAGTTGTGGAGTTGCTTTTAAGGAAACATAAATTATGTAAAAGCTTGTAGGAAATAGCACTTCCGGGCAATTGATGAGCAACTGCTATGTAGATATTTTTTGACAGCTTTAGAAGAGAACAAATATTGATCACATTAGCTAAATTCTTTACAGTTCAAACTGTTAAGCTTGTAGTACATGAAACAATCAATGATATTTATCAGAGTTTAACTTGATCTTTAGTTTTACCTTGTCTTTTTAAATTTTAAGGATCCTGTTATTTCTACAGAAACCCATGCACTATACAAAGCAGCACACCAAATTACTTCAGCCCCGACACTTCTTGTATCATATTTCAGCACACAATTTGATTATATTAATTGCAAAACCACCCACTAGGGTAAATTGCATCATTCAAACTCAATCCAGGGACCACTAGGACCTCCCTGCCCGTTGAAGACCTGCTGTTTATAGGTTCATGGGTTTTAGTTCATCAGGCAACCTGTCTCTAGGTGAATAGCTTGGCATTTTAACTAGAAAAGCACACATCAATGTTGACTGATTAACGAAACAGGCATTGAAAAAACGTAAATTGCCCCACTGGACCAAGATGGTTATACTAAAGTTCTGTGACCTCAGCACATTGCATAGACAACCTGCACCGATGAAGAAAAAAGGCTCAATAACATCCAGATCCTGTGTCCACATTGTTTTGTTCACACCACATAGGAAAAGAAAGTCAATGAGGAAGCAGTACTTTATACAGCAAATATACTGGCACAAGTCAAACACACTGAGCTTTATTGTCTTGGGCCTATGGCCAAATAGAAGCTGGTCATATATCCAAAGATTTGCTTTATGGGGAAGTAGGCATGTAAAGAGACCAGCAGAGCAACCAAAAGTACACTTTAAGGATAGTGTTAAAGCATACAGGAAAATCCTCAACATAATCATGACAAGTGGGAAAAGGGAGGGAAACAGAAAACAGATAACTAGAGGCCAGTTAGACCCTAACATTTTCCTAATAATAGGTGTTAAGCTATTATGAAGAATGTAGTAGCAGAGCATTTAGAAATACACTGTAAGACTAAGCAGGGTCAGCATGGCTTCATGAAGGGGAAACGATGCCTGACAAATTTATGAGAATTCTTTGAGGAGGTGACAATCAGGATACATAAAGGGGAAACAGTGTATGTAATATATTTAGATTTTCAGAAGGCATTTGATAACATACCACACATTAGGCTACTTATTAACATAACAGCCCATGGAGTTGGAGGTATATATTAGCATGGATAGAGGATTGGATAACTAATAGAAGATAGAGAGACAAAGGGGAATTTTCAGGATGGCAACCTGTGAGTTAGTGGTGTGCCACAGGGATCACTGCTGGGACCACAATTATTTATAATGTGTATTAATGACTTGGATGAGGAAAGTGAATGTACTATAGCCAAGATTGTGAATGACACAAAAATAGATGGGAAGGCAAGTGGTAAGGATAACACTAAGAGTCTCAGAGGGATATGAACAGGTTAAGTGAGTGAGCAAAATGTTGGCAGATGGAATACAATGTGGGAAAATGCGAGGTTATGCACTTTGGTAGAAAGAAGATGAACTGAATATTATTTAAATATAAAAAGACTGCAGAAAGCTACGGAACAAAGAAGTTGGCAGTCCTCATCCATGAATCCAGTATCCAAGTTCAGCAGGTAATAGGGATGGCAAATGGAATTATAGCCTTTATTTCACAGGGAGCAGAATATAAAAATTGGGAGGCTTTTAATCTCAGAGTAAGAGGTTGCGTATTTGAGCAAAGCTGACTGGGAATTTCATCTCTCAGGGTACTGAATCTGCGGAATTCTTTACTGCAGAGGGCTGTCAAAGTTAGATATATTCAAAGCTGAGGGAGGCAGATTTTTAATTAGTAAGGGAATCAAGGATTATGGGAAAAATCAGTAAAGTAAAATTGAGGATTATCAGATTAGCCATAATCTCTTTAAAATGTGGAGAAAAATCAATGGGCTGAATGGCCTACTTCTGCTCCCATGTCTTATAGTCTGAAAACCCATCCGGTTCATTAATGTCCTTTAGAGAATGAAATCTGTCACTGTACCTGGTCTGGCCTAAATAAGATTCCAGACCCACAGCAATGAGGCTGACTCATAACGATCCTCTGGGCAATTAGGGATGGGCAATAATTGCTGGCATATCCAGCGACAGTCACATCCCTCTGTGAATGAATTTTATAAAACATTTCTGCACTCAGTTAATAACAACATCTTGAACACCACCAATTTTAATTGTTCTATTATTGGTGCTTTCAGCTGCCCGTGCCCTAAAGTGTAGAATTCCTTCCCTACCCAATCCACTCTGTACCCCACTTTCCCCTTTTAGGGCATTCCTTATATCCTACCCCCAACCAAGCTCTTAGTTATGTGATCTAATATTTTACATATGGCTCAGTATCCTTTGACTTATAATGGCTCCGTGAAGCAGAGACAATTTTATTACATAAAGGTGCTCAATAAGTCATTGTCAGTGCAAGTATTTATCCACAAACTTGTCCACAAGCCATTGTTCACAATCAAAACAGGCTAGAAACTTTTACTGGTGGTATTTAAGGAAAATTACTGACTGCAATCATCAGGTATCCATCTGTCCATAATTTTAATGCAAAGCATTATCAACAACTGTTTTTGGCCTGTTTCTCTGAATTACAATATCATGATGTCACATTAAAAGTAATTCAATGCAAAACTGCTGTTCACATTCCTGTTACTGAGATTTCACTATGCTAAAATTGGCTGCTGCATTTTCTATTTAACAGTGGTGACTATACTTCAAAAGTACTTCAACAATTTTGAAGAAGAACCATCATCGATACGAGATAAAGGTCCAACATGTCTCAAAGTGGCCAAATTGGGCAATAAATATATCTTTGCCACCAATGCTCACATCCAACAAAAAAGTTATAAAATAAACATTCAACACTGTGGATTGCTTTAAAGTCTTAAAGTATCCGTAATGTCTAAATCTTTAAAACTACTTCACGATCAGGTAACTGATGGTAAATGCAAAAATGCAGAAAACTGCAAGACAGAAGAGGATAATTTATAATCAAAGCACAGTAATATACTGACCCACTTCCCTGAGGTGCACATCTGCTTGTCTGTTTCGTGTCCCAAGAGGCGCCCACATTGAACACTGATACTTTCCAAAGTCTTCACTGGTGACATTGTGAATAAGCAGGGAAAACAGCATGTCAGAAGCTAATTCAACTGATCTGTTAAAACCCAGATACTTCCTGACGATGTTCTCTCTGAAATCCTTTCGAAGGATTCCTGTTAAACCAACTCCATCATCAGCGATCTGTAGAAGTAAAATAATTATTTTCACTAGCAGTTCAATGGCAAATCTAATAATAAAAATACCAGCTTTGAGTAGCTAGAAACAGGGAATTATAGCCTGAAGATTATTGTCAGCACTTAACATACTTGTATTATTTTAACATTATTTTCTTAGGGCAGTCCATTGACTAGAGCATAGTTGATGAATAACAAGTACAGGATAAGATTGTGAGTTTCTTAGATTATGTAAAATATTTCAAAGGTATATCCAAGGGGCTATGCTAAGGTCACATCATTAATTTTAACTTAACCCTCACAGCCATAACCAGATTGAGTACCCACTTTAGATTTTGCTCAACTTACCTTTCCATTTACATTTAGGAACAAAAATCCTTGGGGAATTGTGGTGACAAGGTTTAGGAGTCTGAATACTGGTTAATTAAAAACACAAGTCCAATCATCTTAAATTACTGTTTTCAAAACACTACATGGAATCATGTTCTTGTAGAACTGACTTAGTTAAGCAGTAACAGACTTCATACACCCAACCCTCCTAACCTGAAAATCACTTCTGGCCTTGACATGTCCTGTGTACTCTCTCAAATTACACTAAGTTTCTAAAAGCTGCAATATATTTATGGTATGGAATGTAAAAAAAAAAGTGAACAGATGTAGGAGAATTCTGGAGGAAAAACAATCCAATTCCAATCTAATTTTCAGCAACTTGTAGTTAGTTACATTGTCATATGAAAATGAAAGTCAAAGGAAATGGGCCTTGCCTCTGGATTTGTTTTTAATTCACTCATGGGACTTGGGCATTGCTGGTCTCTTGAGAAGGTGGTATTGAGCTGCCTTCTTGAACTGCTGCAGTCCATGTGCTGTCAGTAGACCCACAATGCCCGCAGGGAGCAAATTCCAGAATTTTGATCCAGCGACAGAGAAGGAGTGGTGTCTTATTTCCAAGTCAGGATGCTGAGTGGCTTGGGGTGGGGGGGAGGGGGTGGTGGAATTGCAAGTGGTGGTGTTCCCAAGTATCTGCTGCCCTTGTACTTCTGGATGGAAGTGGTCGTAGGTTTGGAAAGTGCAGTCTAAGGATCTGGGTGAATTTCTGCAGTGCATCTTGTGGATAGTACACACTGCTGCTACTGAGCATCGGTGGTAGAGGGAATAGATGCTTGTGGATGTGGCGCTAATCAAGGGGACTGCTTTGTCCTGGATGTTGTCAAATATAAGAAGACAGAGAGATAAACTAATTAAAACACAAAGTTTTACAGGGATTGATAGGGGAGATGTGGGATGTTTTTCCTGCAATGGGGGGGGAGGAGGGGCCTAGTTCTAGAACTCAAGGATAAGTCACAGAACAAGAGATAGGTCACTTAGGACTGAGGTGAGATTTCTTCACTTAGAGGGTGGTGAACCTTTGAAATTCTTTGCACTGAAGAGATGTGGAGATTCAGTCACTGAGCATGTTCCTCATATTAAAAAACACCAAAGTTATAAGGAAAGTACAGGAAAATGGTGTTAAAAATAAAAGATCAGCAATGATCTAACTGAATGAAGCTCAGCAAATTCAAGAGGCTGAATGGCCTACTCCTGCTCATATGACGTTGGAATAGGGCTTATGCACCTGGGGCTCATCCGCTCTGTGTGCTTTTCTTTTTGTTTCTTTTATTTTACTTACCTCTCGTTGAGGAGCTTGGTTGAGGCAACAGCATCAGCGGATGAAAGTGGGCCCAGAAGCGCAGGCTAATGGTGGTGACATCAGAAGCGCGTTTGGGTTCCGGACAGCCTCTGCACCATTGAAGCAGCCCTAGCTCAACTCATGGCTGCTGCAGCAGTGGCAAATGGGTTCCCAGCAGAATGTGCATCCAGCACAGATTCATTGAGGTGGAGGCAGGTTTGAGCCCAGTATGAGACCCAGTGGCAGCAGCTGCACTGGCAAGGTGGGCCCAAAGTAGACTCATGGCAGTGGCAGAGTTGAGTTTGAGCCAGTGCGATACCTGGCAGCATTGGTAGCATCTGCATTGACATGATACAACGAAGACTCATAGTGGTGAGGGCACTGGTGAATGCAAGATTGCGCCGTAGAGTGGTGACTTTCGTTCCAGCAGCGTAGCGAAGGGAACTCTGGGCCAACAGGTCCATTGCAGAGCACTTAACAAGAAGAACAATAAAGTTGAAAACATTTCAAAACATTGCAGAGCACTTAACAAGAAGAACAATAAAGTTGAAAACATTTTGTTTTGTTTTTCTGCCTTTATATTCCATGTTTGGTTTATTTTTCCCAGTGTTTCAAGATGGTGCTGGAGATGGTGCAAACTGGTCCTGGAACAAACCACTTAAATAGAATTTTGGTTCTATCCAATGAAAAACCTGCAGTGAAATCTCTGATGTCACACAAGCAATCTACAATGACTCAAACAGGGCTAGATTTGACAGTGCTCGTCATAGCAAATAAAAGGGGAATGATTTTTAACTTGCCAAAATGATTGTTCCTGTCCCTTGAACACCGTCTGAAAATGAACACAGTAGACTTACCAGTGAATAATGCCTAATTTCTGATGACCGTTTTTGCAGGGGCCTACTTCAAGGTGGAGAAACCATGGGCCAATTCAGAGAGAAGGCCCTTTTTAATGTGACATACAATGGAACCCAGTTACCATTTAGTATGTAACAAAAAAAAAGTGTCATGACTTTACTACCACTTCTACCCTATAATAATCACAAAAGAGATGCTGAAAAGTGAGTATTAAATCATATTTATAGGGTCAGCTGGAGCAGAAGTAGAAAATAGAAATAATTCGGCATACTGCAACTGTTTGCTCCTCCCTCACGATCGTCCTGGTGTTACCTTGTCGCAATATTGCGTTGATCCAAATTCACCGAGCTATGTCAGGATGTCCAATCAGGATGAGTAGCTCAGAGGCTCTGTTTAACAGGGATATACATAAAATACAGCAGAAGTTTCAATCAAAATTATTTTTAAAATATTAATTCACAGGATGTACCATTAGCTAAGCCAACGGTTTTCAACCATTGTGCCATGACAAGTTGAGAAGTATGCTACGATATTTGGATAAAGGGCTGTAGTCGAGTCTGATTCTGTGCTTCTGACCTCCTTCAGAGCCTTGGTATCTATTACTGAAGGCAGTATCTTCTGACATAATCAAGTTTGCGTGCACAAACTTCCAGAGTGGCACACATAGAATTCCAGTATCACATGTGCAGCAGAAGGGAAATCTGCTCATTAAGCAGCCTGCTTGCACACGCACACGACCATGTACAATGAGCATGTACAATGATTGTGTATCCTTTTTCCAGTAGGAGAAGAAACTGCGCATATGCAGTAAAGAGGCATGCAATTGAAACAGCTATTTTGAACTGGCCTGCCAGCCTGGACACATTTTCATGGATATTAAAGTGACTACTTTTGAAATTTCATTCTAGTTATGCCACTGATCCAAGTCTTAGAATCTAAGAAAAAAATAAATAAGCTTCTTTTCAAAAAAGAGGCAATTCTTCTGTTAATTCAGTCGACGAAACATTTGGACCCAAAGACAAATAAGCAAGAATTGTTCCGAGGTAGTGTAATGAGAGCTATCTGGCTTTTGGATTTTACAGGAAATACTGTTTGCCCTTTACTTGAATATCTCAGCTGCAGAAAGAAGTTACCAAGTAAGTTGGCACCATTTACAGATAAAACATCAATCTCTTGTGAACAAACAGTTTGAGAGAACAAAACATCAAGCAGACTCAACATCTGATGGAGCGTGTGTAGCCATCTGATAAAACTCAAGACATTAGTTACCCAGTGGCTGACAAACAGAAGGCTCAAGAACACAACTGTGTTCTTCCAGTCTCTTCTTTATCTACCTTGGATTCCAGCATCTGCAGTTTTTTTGTCTCTAACCCAGTGGCTGAGCTTGTAGGAAAATCAAAGAGCTCCCTTTCCATTGCCGAAACCGTAATCATGCCTGCATGTGAAACAGTTATAGGTTTGACAATAGAAGCTGATGCTACAAAAGAGATTGACAAAATTCCAATCTCCGATAATACAGTTAAATAGTGAATTGATAACCTGGTCAGCTGATATTATGGAGGTGCTGCAAGAGAAGTTAGCTCTTTGTGGGAACTTTTCTTTGCAAATTGAGGAGTTCACCAATGTAAGTGGACACCTGGGCTGTGCAATAGAGCATTTTCACCAATGGAGCAGTCTCTATTAGAGTGAAAGTCAAATGATTGATCAGGAAGATGAAAGAGAAAAATCTTGATATTCAGATCGCCCATTGGATCTCTTGTAGCTAAAACAATGGCACCACAGTTAGCTGCAGTGTTAAGAGAAAACCATGAAAATTACGAATTACATCAAATGACAGCCACTGAAATCATGTTTGTTCACTATTTTGTGTGCAGAAGTGAGGGCTGGGCATCATTTACTGTTACACCCCAAGGTTGATGGTTATCGTGGAGGAAGGTTGTCTACACTTTTCATGAGTTCGGAAGAAAAATGATTGGAGTTTTCAACAACGCATGAACTGCCTCAAAAGAGTTACTATCTGACGATTACTGGTGGGCTAAGTTGACATATCTTGCAGATGTTTGAAGTCATCTGAATGAGCTGAATACTAAAATGCAGGGAAAGAACAAAGATGATCCTACGATCCAAAAATTATCACAGATAAACTGTCAAACCTGAGCATTTGGCAACAGACAGTGTCAAGGGATTCACTGGAGACGTTTCCACCAGTATCAGCAACAGTAGATGCAGCCATGAAGATGCACACCCTTATATTTAAACATCTCAAAGCAATGTAAAAGATGTTTGAATTCTATTTCCCCTCAACAAATATGGAAGACCACGATCTGTTTAATTCACTGTCGTCTGATTCATCACAAAATCTGACATTAAAAGAAGAGGATGGATTGCACGATGAAGCTAAAATTTGGAGTGCTGTCTTTGTATGAGTTTTGCCCAACTGGGTTCATGAATATCTGATGATGATATTACTGTATTCTTGTGGTTTGTGGCAGCATAGCTCTGCAAGCTAGCATTTTCAACACAACAGGAAGGACCACTTGTCAGTGGAGCAAGATTTTGAGGTGGCTCTCTCATCAATTCCTTCTTGGATCAAAAGGCTCTGTGCACACTGGTAGGCCCAGGTTTCCCGCTAACCCAGTAAATTGCAATTTACTCCACTTTGCATTTTGTTATGATCCATTGTTCACGAAGAGTTAAAGATTGTTGAATTGAGCAGATTTTGAAAATATGTCTGCACTCAAAGACAGTGTATTTTTGCTAATGTATTTAAAACATTAATGCTTTTGATTATTCTTTTGCTTATTATATGAACTATATTGTAAACCTCTCTAGTAAGGCCATAACTATAGTAAATGCAAATAAAAGTAACTTTACCGGCTGTCAATTTACCTGAAAAAAGTGGGCATGCCATGGAGTTGTTTGTCTCATTGAAGTTTAATACTGAAAAGATTTGGAACCATTGAGCTAGGCCACTTATTGCCCATCCCCAAATGCCCTTGAAAAGGTGGTGGCGAACTGCCCTCTTGAACCAAAGCCATGCATGAGAGCTACACGCGCAGTGCTGTTAAGAAGAAAGTTCTAGGATTTTGACCCAGTGATAGTGAAACTCTGATGAAATTGTTCCAAATCAGAAATGGAGGGGAACTTGTAGGTGGTAGTGTTCCCAGGAACCTCCTGCCCATGTCCTTTTACGTGGTAGGGGTCGAGAATCTGGAAGCAGTTGTCGATGGAACACGTTGAGTTGCTGCAGTGCAACTGAAAGATGGTATGGACTCTGCCACCAATCAGTACCTCAATTTACGTCCAAAAGATTTCTTGTCTTATCCTGTATCATTTCTGTACCTATTCTCCCATTTTTGAAGATTTATAGTTTTTCTTTGTTGCCTGTTTTTCCCCCTCTCTCTCTACATCCTTCTTATATCCTGTTGCAATTTCCCTGCCATGCTGCCTGTTTTTTAATTGTATCCTGTTCTTGACATGTTACAGAGATTGTTAGGCTAAATAAGTGGATAAAAAGTTGGAAAACGGAGTATAATATGAGAAAGTGTGAAGTTATTCATTTTGGGAGGGAGAACAAAAAGTAGAGTATTATTTAAATGAAGAAAAACTGTAGAAAGCTGCAACACAAAGGGACTTGTGGATGTTTCTGCATGAAACATAGAAAGCTAGCATACAGGTGCAGCAGGTAATCAGAAGGTTAACAGAATGTTGGCCCTTATTTCAAGAGGTTTGCAGTATAAGAGTAGGGAAGTCTTACTGCAACAGTACAAGGTGCTGGTGAGACCACACCTGGAGTACTGAGAGCAGTTTTGGTCCTGTGATTTCAGGGAAGGTAACATTTCATTGGAGGCAGTTCAGAGAAGGTTCAATAGGTTGATCCCCAGTTTAAAGGGATTGTCTTATGAGCAAAGGTTAAACATGTTGGGACTCTATTCATTGGAATTTAGAACAATGAGAGGTGATCTGATTGAGACAAATAGGATTCTGAAGGGACTTGACAGGGTAAATGCTGAGAAGATGTCTCCCCTCATGGGAGAATCGAGGGCCAGACAGCATTTTTCAGAATTAAGGGGCTCCAATTGAAAACTGAGATGAGGAGGAATTTCTCCTCCCAGAAGGCTAAGAGTCTTTGGGATTCCTTGCCACATAGCGCTGCAGGGCAGAGTCCTAAGGCTGAGACAGATAGATTCTCAATCAGTAGGGGAATCAAGGGCTATGGGGAAAAGGCAGGAAAGTGGATGTGAAAAGAATCAGATCAGGCTCGAGGGGCTAAATGGCCTTCTCCTGCTCCTATTTCTTATGGTCTTATTTGTCATAAGCCTTCTGTTATGTTTAATCCAACATCAATTTCCTTCATTGTCAATGAACATAGAACATAGAACATAGAACATTACAGCGCAGTACAGGCCCTTCGGCCCTCGATGTTGCGCCGACCTGTGAAACCAATCTGAAGCCCATCTAATCTAAACTATTCCATTATCATCCATATGTTTATCCGATGACCATTTAAATGCCCTTAAAGTGGGCGAGTCTACTATTTTTGCAGGCAGGGCATTCCACGCCCTTACTACTCTCTGAGTAAAGAACCTACCTCTGACATCTGTCCTATATCTAT